GACCTTCTATTGGTTAAATCAAGAGTTTTTTTGTAAAAACACTCTTGCTAGAAAGCACGTTTTCGTCGTGCCAGATACTCGCGGCGTGCCTAACGACGATGCACCAACAAGAAATATGTGTTCCTCTCAAATACATAGCTTGCACTGAGCGCGAACCTTTTGCAGCGTGCTTTTTGCCCCACCGGATTTGATTTTCTCAGCAAGAACAACTCGCAATGAAAACCAGCATAAAGAGCGATGATGTCACGTGCAAACCATGTTAAATACTTCAGCTTTCTGGTGAAGTGCGACGTTCGCAACACTAGCAGTAGACGTCCAAGGTTGTAAAGTTGTGTAGTATTTATAGCAGTCTCGCGATGGTATACGGCAGCCTAATGAAAGGTTAGAGCGCCTGACTGATAAAGAACACAGTCGTGAAGTAAGGCCCCAAAACAAGTGCACCTAAAACCTAATATAACATTAGCCTCCCGAGGCAGTATCTCGCGACGTTTTTAACTGAGGCAAGCTGATTCCCAAAAAAGATTTATATTAGGATCCTAAGACTCTTCGTTTGCCCTGCGTGCAATTTATGTTTAATTGGGAATATCATTTTATGCATATCTATGCATCTCTTTTTGCAGTAAAGCGTTGTTTAAGGGATTATTTAGAAAAATTACCTGTCATCTCCTTATTTATGCACATTTCGTGTATTTGCCTTCCGATATATCATGTGACCACAGTCTTTTTTTGGCATACCCTGCAACCCAGTGTTTTACACTGCAAAACAGCTAACAAAAGCACGTTTCCGAAGACTCAACAGCTGGCGTATTTTCAAGTATCGTCGTTCCGTGTCGGTCTCAGGCGGTTATATGAACTTCATAAAGTCAAATTTATCGATGATAATAAAAATATACTTAATTCCTGTCTGAAGATTTGGCAGCATAAATAAAAGACCCTCACCTAAAAGATATATAAGTAAATGCACCTTCAAATTATCTGAAAGATGGTCTGCTTTCGGCGCTTTTATCCTCTATAGACACGTTATAGGTGATTTGGCAATGCTTTAAATATTTTTTTTTTATTTTGAAGCTAATTTAAATAACTATGTGTTCCTCACGCCTATATAACTTCTCAAATATATAAAAGTTTAATATCGCGTTTTTTATGTGGTAAACAGAGCTTTTACGTGTCTGCGGGTCGAACCAAAGCAAAATACACTGGGACGAATGGTGGAACTATGACGATTACACACGCAAACTGTCAGAAAGTGTCCAATTAAGTAGCTTCCAAACTGAGTAGAGCATGAAATAACACTTTGTTCTATTTAAAAAAAAAGTCAATTAGCGAGGGTGATGCTTATTTGCAAATTAAATCGACCGGAACCTTGTCAAGAACAAACCTCAACATCCAGGCTATGCTAGTTTATCCAATAGAAGAAAATGTTCACATGGGTAAGCACTGTTTTAGGCCAGATTCGATCTCAGTACGAAGGTGCTTATAGATTAGAGTGAACAATTTCAGCCACTCCTTTTCGCATGATTCGTCGACCGCATCATGGTGCTGAGAGCAAACAATGCTGGTTCGAAAAGCAAGCATTGCGATTGTCGCTTAGTGTTTCTATAAAATATAGACTGGAAAGGGCTTGTCCTAAAACTTTTGTGACATTTTGGAAATTATATTGCCTTAAGCTGAGTCGTCTCGTCATCATATATATATTGTGAAACGTATTCCGTAAAACACATTTTATGATATGTATGGCGACGAGGGGCCCATTTCATGATTTTATTCACTGTAATTAATTCCTTAGTTCAAGGGCAAAACCACGATTCAACTTCCAACACTGCGATGCGAAGTTGTACCAATCACGGGTATTTTAGGCAACCTACTTTACTTCGCGAAAACATTTCGATTCAGGTACACTGTATGTGACTCTGGTAAACGAAGGGATGTTGAGTCGTCTAAACACGACGTATTGTATGTGAATGTAGATTTTCTTTTCTTTTTGTGTAGAAATAAATAACAGAATTTTATAATTTTGGTATCTGAAAATAAAACTGGATTGAAAAAACGATAAAAAAACTATATACTGTAAACGACTTATTTTTCGTGGGCTCAATATTTCCCGGTTTAGGTCAAAGCTGAAGTTGTGGAATAACTCGCGGGTTGTAATTTTCTCGACGCGGTGGAATCTTAATATAAATTCCAATGTGTTTACATTTTACCGAAATTGTTCGCGGGACCCATTTTTCGCGAATTGTAGACGATTCACGAAATTCTCAAAAATTAGGTCCTCGCAAAAATCAGGTCGTTTACCATAGTTAGTTTCACGGCCTAAATAGTGCCTATTGACAGAACAACGCGGAAAATATATTCTCAATTTAGCGGTTCGAACCGGTTCGAACCGTTATTTTTTGTGCCCCGGAACTGAACCGAAAGCCGTGAACCCGAACCCGAACCGAACCGATAAAAATATCGGTTCGACACTCTGGTTAAGACTTCTGCACAATGCTTACACTGTTTTACATTCTCCCACAAAGCAGGTGCCAATGTGTCAGACAAGTATGACCAATTCTCAAGCGACACAAATAACCTCAAGATTACGTTCCCTATGAGATGAGCTATTCCACATTCCCAAAGTAGCCTCGATTAGCTGAAGGTGGTTGCTAGAGCGAGTGTCTCACTTCAACGGCCATGCTGTATGAATTGCTCTTTTTAACAGATGTCTAAGGTTGTGGTGGGGCAAGGCGAAGATCTTATTATCGAGTTCGTAGACAACGCAGCTAATTTTTCAGCCTCCTCTTTGCCTGTAATGCGCATATGACTGGGCACCCAGAAGAATTTAATGTCCTCTCCAGATGGAAGAGTTGGATTTATTTTATGACATACATGGCATCGCCACAACATTTTTCGTATCAAGTATAAATGCATCTTCCAATAAATTACTTTGCCAATACATTAAAAAAATACCTTTCAGTGTATTGCTGTTCGTTATATGTTCAACGGTTAATAAAATACCATAAGGTTCTGCTGTAAAATGATTGCCAGAGTGCTAAATTGTGCAGCTTTACGTTAGGAACTGGAATATATACAGCGGAGCCTACAAAAAACGATGACTTAGAGCCCTAGTATAGAACTGTGTGTAATTCCTACACGTCTGCCGCACGGAGAAAAACTCTTGCTGGGTGACCCGTGAAGAAACAGCCCGCCTACTACACTTTGCAAGTGACCAGTCACAAAAAAAACAAACAAAAAAACTGGTGCCTCAACGAACGGGGCAGTCTAGGCACCGTGTTTCAAAAGAGTAAGATCGGAAAGTGGAATATGAAAAGATGAGTTAGGACTTTCAAGCCTTTGAAAACAAGCCCCATATCCTTCTGCTTAAAGGCTGCACAATATTTGGCTTGTTTCCAAATAGTCTGCGAAACCTGTATTTGCAAAAAGCACTGTTAAGGTCCGTTCACGCTCTTGCAACCGGGAGAGACCCTACCAATTTTTAACCCTCTTGCGACCTCTTAGGACCGGATGTGCTGCAGCGGAGCTGGTCCTAAGACGCCACAAGAGGCTTAAAAACCGGTCTGGTCTCTCTCGGTCGTACTCGGTTGCAAAAGTGTGAACGGACCTTAAGAAGGGTGTTTCGGATCGAAGTAGATATATTATACATAGATGAAACAGAGGTACTGGCGGCGCTTTTCAAGGGGCGTCTGCTTCTTGTCACCACACAAGCTCAGAATAGGGGATGTGCGAAATGCACCCGTCGTAAGACGCAAACGAAAGTGGTGAACTGGATCTAACATTTTGAAAGTAGAGGACCTCGCCGAAACAGGGGACTGGACCAACGAGTTACACAAGCGTAACAGGCATCGTCTCTCTGAGCCCAGTGACATACCTGAAAGGGGTTTAAGATTATAGGATGACCTCAGGCACTACTGTTTTAGCTCTTTCAGATGGTAAATAAAAGCGAGCTTCCTGTCAAACAGGTACAAGACTGGGGCTATGATAAAGCACGGACAAATCGCGCTGCCCCTTACCGCACCGGCATCCTTACTTCTGTTTAAGGGTTAAGAGTTGTGCGTGTTGGTACATGCTTGTAAATATATCAGTTTGAACTCTCCAATTATACTTGTACGCAGAGAAAGAAAAAAACCTTAGAAGACAAAAAGCTGACTACCAACGGTGTTTTAGTGTAGACCACCTCCTTTCGCCATTACTTCTTCATTCAGAGGGCAAAGTAGAGCACGATAAATTTATTACGTAAATAAACATATTGTACTACTAAATATTACTACTGATGATTACACTTATACAAAATTATACAGAACCATTACATAGTAAAATTCTAAAATTCATTCAGAGCCATTCAAGTATAAATCTAAAGCTCGACCTGATATATTCACACGTTTGCTCCTGTTGTACGAGTGTTACCTTTATAGCAGTTGTACTGCACTGGCTAAATTGCTTATCTACAGTGGGTAACAATGTCGCCATGTTCTGGCAGACTAACCTCTTGCTGCATAAACATCGACTAATTTGACCTTTGATTTCTTTCGCACTACTACGCTTCCTACGCACTTAAAGTATTTATAAAACAATATTTATTTGGTTGTTTTGGATGATGCTTAGAAAGTTTCAAATTGAAACCAGATGCCTATTTTCACTACCTAAAAATTTAAATAACATATTTTACTTAGTTAGCCGTTATGTTAAGCCCCATATACGATGCCCCACAGTCCGTATAAGTTATAACTCACCTCCGCAAACTGCATAAAAGTATATTTCACAGCTTTTTTTTTTCTGAAGTAGTGTCGTTCTTAGAAAATAACCCTGTATGTACTATGCAGTAGATGAAGATGATGGCGTGCCGTAGGATATAACTCAGAAAATGGGGGCCAAAGGTTTACTTATATGTTTATGGGACGGTTTTTATTCTTCATTCGCCAAATACGTAATGATTGGAACTGCTTTGTTCAGTTCTTTATTTCTTCAAGAGGTTGTTCAATTGACTCGGTTATAATTTACGAACTCTATTCCACCAAAATATATTTAGCCAAGCTCGCAGTGTGAGGCGTTAATTCTCTCTCGGTGGTGGAAAGGTGGTAGCTCTGAGCTACGTTTGCTTTAAACAGCCCCTTTGCCTGGAATATGACGGAATCTCCGTCGTTTAATAATTGATCATGTTTAATCTTGGTCACATTGAAGTACTTCCATGTTAAGGCATTGGGTGATTCAAACAACGCTGCGATGTATCCCTTCATGGAAATGTTTGATACCCATGGCACCTCCTAAAAATAAAATTAAGAAAAGACTGTTATGATGTGAGCCAATCTTGATAGAAACATCAGTTTAAGAACCGCGGTGAAAGAGCCGTGGAATTCAAATTTGCTTGATTCTAACTTTTCAACAATAAGGAGCGTTAATCCGTTTATAGGTTTATCTTCAAATGACTCGTGGAGCTTCAACAGGGATATTGGGTAACTGAGCACCTAATGAGCAAAACAACAGTCAGAATTGCGGTTCTTACTATAATAAGCCGGGCTCACACTACTCACATATCATACAAAAGACAGTCTGCCAAACACGACACTCCACCAAATCCCCATGATTCCAATGCCGCGTGCCAAGCTTCCTCCTTGAACTCACTGACATGCGGCATTCGAAGCACAGATCTCGTGGTGACCCTCTTTCGAATCTGCATGGAGACTGTCTTTTGTATGATGTATACGCGTTGTGACCCCGGCTGTAGGAGTTACTTAAAAGCGGTTAAGGTGTAGTCTTGGGTGACCTGAGTAGCGACGTATGAGACACGAACGATAGCCTTCAGTTGCCCCTTTCCAAGATATGTTAAAGCATAGAACTCTTACGCCTGACGTCACATCCGGACACGCTACCAACCGTGTCTGCAAGTCTCTTTTTACACTGTCCGTACTGTGGCGCTGTTTTTATTTTTGATCGTGTAAGCCTCGTCGGAACCCTTGGTGGTTCCGACGAGGCTTAGTGCAAGATCTGACCTGAGATTATACTACTTTTTTCTTTTTTAGCTGAGCATTCGTGGAAGCCTAGCTTAGAGCCCCAAGCTAGCGTTGACGCGTTGATGGTAGACAGCCATCGAGAAGTGTCGTCCACTATTGCTGGCTTTAGACGCCAGATTCGCGTTTGCGTCTATTTATATTCGGTGACAATAGCAGACGGATATTATTGTGCGGAAGGAGACGGCGGTGTAGCGCCATCAGTTTCGTGTTTAGGTTCTTTTGATGTGCCACTCAATGGGCTGGACATGAACAAAAGAATAGAGTGATATTGGGACTCAACACGGACGACTGATTTTCTACAATGCTTATTTCTTTGACAGAATTTCACGGAAGCATGTTTTGTTCGGCCATCCGGCGGCCTGTTTTTTATAATAAAAGAAGCAAATAATTTCGAAAGGAAAGTAATTATTTAAATATTTTCTATTCTGCGCTTTGTGAAAGGAAAATACCGCCGTGCCGGGTTTTTACATAACGTCGTATAGAGGTGATTCAATAGACGATGCAGCAATACAAAGAGTGTGTTTGCGCTGTAACTTCTAGACGGGTGATATTTGAAAAATGTTAAATTTTACGCACCACTTGCGCCTTGTTGACAAGCCACTTGGCTTCAATGGTGGCTCCAGGGGGTATTGCTACATCTTGTTTAATCCATTGTCGCGTAGTGCGTGTTTCGACCGTGGTGGATCCAGAACTTGTCTTCAATGTTGTTGAAAGTTCTGAGCTGAAACTGTATACTAGTGGAACCGACACGCTGAACTTGACCTTGACAGATAAATCTGCTCCACTGGTGACGGTCCACATGTACTCGTCTTCGTGTTCTATTTGCTCCGATATTTGAGCCCTGCCCAACACGTCAGACTGGTTGTTGTGAAAAGTCTGGACATACACTGCAGACAACTCTAGCGATTGTACTTTAGCGGTACCGTACGTCACCGGGCCGACGTCGAACTCCACAGGGGGGTGTCTGCATTGAGAAAGAATAAGATCACATTGTAATGGGATACATTTGGTAGCATAGCCATGGCTTCCCGTCATACGAGAGAAGGTTGGTCCTCTTGCGCAGTTAAAGCAATCGCAAAATGAGCAAACAAGTTGCTTTTTTTATGATAACATCGTTAACGTGTCAATACGTTGAGAGTGGGTATGGGCAATTGATGGATTAACCTACCGATTAATCAATTAATTTTTTATACGCGATTAATTTTTTAACGGGTTATTCGGTGAAATTTTGAAGCAAAGGAAAGTAAAAATTACACGATTTCCCGCGCAGACGTGGACGAAAACACCTGTATGAAAGGCAAACTTTAGGTCAAATTTTCGCCAAATTCCAAGGACAATATTTATTAGCCCTGACAAGTGCAGAATACTTTTGGCCCTTACGACGAAAAGTATTCACCCGAGAGATCGGTTCAGTGTCTCTTTAAACCACAGCGGCTATTGCGGTCATGACATGTTGAACTGATTACAGACCGACGATTTGCGTTTTGAGGTAATAGACATCGATTTCATGTCCAGGGCTTCCTGGGAGTTGGACCACAGTACAAGAACCGTCGAAATGGGCTTACAGACTTGCGTGGTACAGGCAAGAAAGAATAATATAAAGAAAAAAATCAAAAACTAATTAAACGTAAAATAAAAATAAATACATATAAAAACATAGACAAATAGAGTGACACGCTATGAGGTCACCAAACGATAGGGCCTCATTCTAAGGGTAGGATTTAGTTAGAAGTAAACACTAATAACTAGCTCGTAAGTAGCTTATGATTGGTGTAGTGTTTCGAAAAATGCAGTTCTGATTTTTATTTAAAATTTTATACCATTCCTTAAAAATAAACCGGTTAATTGATGAAAAGCCGAAAAAAAAACAGGGCGAACCTGGATTAAAAAGCAGTGGGCAATTATAATGTTTGACCGGTGTTTCCATGTCTTTTTTCTTGCCTTGCTTTGTTTGAAGACAAACGACGTCTCCTGCGGTGAGCTATTTCGCTCTACTTCTGTATACTAGTAGTAGATAAGAATAATTGATACCAGCACTTTGTGGGTTCTGCCCTTTGCTTTGAATCATGAGCAAATAAGCAAACGACAAGAGAGAGGCAATCATTGTGAATGCAGCACAAGATCACATATCGGGAAACATGGAAAGTAAGTAATGCTAAATAGCGACTGTTGGCTAGATAGCATTCTTGGTAAGCACGTGCTTTCAATTTCTAGTGACTGTAGCTTAGCTGTGTTTTTATTCAGGCCAAAAACATAGCATAACATACTCTGCAAGCTTTTTGGTGTCACCTCGGGTTTTCTTGTCTCCTTCGATATCAAAAGTTGACAACCTTTCATCATTAGAGCACTCTGTCACGAGGAATTCATAGATCACATCTTGAATATCAAAAAAATGACCGCAACCTAAAAAAAAAGAAAGATAAAGATGGTTTGTTAACAATTTAGAGCTTGTAGTGTTTACTAGGTAAAAGCTAGAAACTGGTTGTCACGTATGTCATGTACGTTACAGCAGACACGCGAAACACGCTCAGTCGCTGCCCCCAAAGGCTACCCATGCGTCTTTCATGCTGACCATTCGGAAGAAGTCGGCTGGTTAGCTATCACCTAGTCAGTGAGGGATGTTACAAATGTGGTGCTGGTTTTGCAGCAAAATTGTTTTTGAAGCTTGTTGCTATACATTCCAAGAATGGTATCTCTTACCAAGGGGGAACGGTACACAAAGTAATTTTTTTCTAGTCTGTGAAGCAACGTCGCTCTAGGTACCCATCTGTCATGTTCTCGCTTCCCCGTATAGCACGTGCAGTTACTAGCTGTCGCGCGTTTCAGGTAGTAAATACATAGTAAAAATATAGTAATGGTCAAGAAAAGGTACACTTCTGCATTACTAACTTTTTACTACCTACCGCGCATTTGAGGTAGTAATTAGTAGTAAAAAGATAGTAACAGTAAAAAAAAAGGTAGCAAATTCTGCAGTTACTAACTTTCTGTCTAAGAGTGTGCAATTAAACTTCAGTCGCCCAAGAGTTCTGAGGACGTTACATGCGCGAAAGTTTGATCTTAGATTCAAAACAAAATGGTATGTAAATTTAGGTAGAACTTGGAAAAAATCCCTATTAACTCTAGAAGTGACAACCGGAGCTTTGCAAAAAAGACAGCAAAACAAACTGAGGTTTTGGAAAGATGAATAAGTGTTTTTGTGTCACATCTTCGGCTGCCACAAAAAAAAAACGATGTCTAGTTTGCGGAGTACATAAGCAAGGACTACACAAGTCTCTCAGAAAATATTTCTTTTATGGCGTCTCGATACAACGTGATTAAGAACCTGAGTATCAGAATCCGACGCTTCACCAGAATGGTCTATTGAATCACGGCCTGAATACCACGTCTTAGACGTCAACACCAAAGATTTATTCCTATCCCAGTAAAACCCTCGTTTGGAAGCAAAATGAACTCGACTAAAAGTTATTCGACAAACCCTTTCCGGATGAATCTCGTTCCTCTCTCTTTTTTTTTTTTTGCAAGTAGTAAAAGCTAAAGCTCAGAATAGAAGAACATTTTTCGCTTTTTCTTTCTGTTTTTGTTTGCGGCATATTTTTACGGCGCTAGTGAAGATGCAACTGCGTTAAAATTATAATTATATCTGGAATATATAAAATACTAAAACTATGCCATGTGCAAATATATTCACGAACTTATATCAATGTATTGATGAAGCAGTTTCGCTGAACAGATGTAGCAACGTGACCGAGCAGAGCTTTTATTCTTGTTAATGTGTTACATCCAAGTCGAAAAAAAGCTCACTTCTTATCGCTTCTGCTCTGCATTGGGCATGTAAACTGCTTTGGAAGGCACATCCAATTGAATAATCGGAAAAAATGTACATTAGCATCGCAACGCGTATTCTTTATTACAGTATTGTTTACGAACTACATTTACATTTCACATACCGATCATGACCTCACCGAAATATTAGAGCACGCTGTCACTCGGAGCTTCTTAAGTTTGAGTCAAAAAGCCATATCTCGAGCCGCTATTATTTATTCTTGATCATTAGAAACTTGTAAATTGGGTTTGGTAAAACATAGGCCTGTATAAGTTGCTATTCAGAAGCTTGTAGAGTGGTTCAAACTACACAGTAAAGCATTTTTTACATGCGTGTTTGGGAAGTGTCTGTAAATGGTTTCACCGTGAGTTGGAAACAAATGAATCAACACTTGTAATTTACGAGTCGAATGGAGAGAAGGAACTCATGGGATAGAACTTCTAAGAAAACATTCTTCAGCAAAAATGGGTTGGAATTAATAAAGCAAAGGCGGGCAACGCAAAAAAAAAAAAAAATGCAGTTCGTTAACAAAAGTTTTTTTTATATTAATGTTATCATTTACCTGGAAACCTGCTTCGCCGTTTTGGCATGATTGCAGGGTACGTTATGTACAGAACTTTTCTTGTCAAATCTATCAGACACATCTTTTTTTTTTTAATTTAGCACAAATAAAAACTAAAAGAAAAATCAGGCAAAGCTCACTTCATACTGAAGGAGTAAAAGAAAATAATTAAACACCATTTTCAAAAAAGGCGAAAATACATCCTTCAGCAATTTGTTTTGTTCTTCGATTGTTTTTGGAGAGAACGAAAAGGCAAAAATGTCAGTACGACAAGAGTAGTGTCGGATATTCTTTTGGTTGTCTGCTCTTCCCGATATATAAAAAGGATCACGCAGAAATGTGTCTCTACTGATTTGGAGGCGATTGCGACATATATTATCAAGACATTTTAGGCTAAAATATTTTCCTCGTTAGCTAATTGATAGACAATTTAGGGTTGCTTTCACACTGGTGACGCTTGCTCCAAGTTGATAATTATTCAGAATACATCTAGCACACTGGTTTTGAACTTTTTAAAGTTTATCTATTAGATGATTGTCCCAGACTATTGCCGCGTGCTCTATGCATGGGTGAACAAAAGTAATATACAACGTTTCATGAATTTTGCTTGATCCCTATCGGAAATTTTGTCTTGTAAAATTAATAATACCTACTGCTTTTAGAGCTATCGTATCTACATGCGATTTCCACGCTAAATCAGTAGACAGCATAACACCAAGTACTTTACATTTGATTCGGTTTTAATTATTTCAATATTTACTATAGAGGTAGATAAAATTGGGCATATTTCTTTATAAATCTCACTTGCACACACTTCTTAACGTTTAGATACATCCTCCAACTAAACCACCGTTCAAAAATTTGGTTCTTATCTGTGGTTAAGAGATTGATATCGTTCACATGCCTAATTACCCTATAAAAATGCAGTCATCTGCGAATAGTCCTATATATGATTGAATTTCTTTGATGGTATCGTTAATATATACCAGGAACAGCAGAGGGCCCAAGACAGCACCCTGGGGGACACCCGAAGTGATACCTACATATTCGGATTTTTCACCTTTAGTCCCCCACATTGCTTTCGTTCGCTCAGGTAGTCCTTCAGCCAAGCTAATAGATTTTTATAAAAAAATCTCTCCTCATATTACTCTGCAATAAATAGGCAGGTTCATGACTACTTGTGTGACTCTCACAAACAATAACATATTTGTGAAGTGAGTGGCTAAATTGTGTGTACTTACCTTGTTGGATGGGAACCTATTGAAAAGAAAACAAACTGAAATTAATATTTGAACGCTGAACGGAGACATCGCCTCCGCTTAAAATTAAAAACAACGAGTTGTGTTAGCTGATTACTTTTACAGTTCAAGACGGAAGTTTAATAGTATGCTCGGAATGGCGCGTTTTATTGAGTACTGAGTTTGGACTTTTTTTTTGTTTAGAGACGCCGTGCTTTCTTAATTGAAGGGGTATACGAAGTCAATGTTTTAGCTTTCAATCATTGCGAAAAATCTTGTAGACATATTCTCGTTGCTCGGTCTATTTAGGGCATTAGGTATAATAGTTCTGAACATACATCTGTGATAAAAAAAACTTCCGCATTCATTATAACATTTTAAGAGTTAGGTGTAGTTTTGGTTATACTGGGGAATACACTACTACTGTCTAATGTTTATCTAAGCAAAATATAGCTAAATATTTTTACTCGGAGTGTAGAAGACTTCTTCCTCATCAAGGCCCTAGCACCAGGAAGTGTGTTCTATCGCCAGGAAAACAGAGACTCTTTAGTTAAAGATCTTTGAGGACGATTGAATTTAAATGAATGCCTAGGATACTATTTAATTCAAATTTTACTAGTACTACTATTCATGCTTATAAAATCCCTTGGCGTTGAAGTAGTTTAAAGATTGTTCAGTCGTAAAGCTGTTATCACTATGACTGCGCTGACCATCGCTAGTGTGGGGCATATGGCATGCTAGAAGTATCAAAGTTTTAACTGTTGTGACAGTGGCGGAATTTCCTTCCTTTAGCCAACCCAATAAGCGAATCGGTTTAACCAGATTATTTATTTCGAAATTGTTCGCTCACTGTATAAAAATGGCCAAGCCTCGTGATCGCTCACCGAAGAAGCAAGTTAAAAGATGATTTATGAAGGGCCACACAAAGCAGGTTTATACTTCTATTCACCTTAAATTTAGATGCGGCTGTCGCTACGAGCTGATCGGATTAATCAGAGATCACCGAAATCGCACCGCAATGGTGTTTGTCATGTTTCTCTACGTGTCCTTACATCGCTCAACCAGTCATAAACAAAAAATGCCTAATGACTTGCACTTTTTATGCTGCTTGATTGGTCCCATCATCTCTGAGCGCCGTACAGCGAACATTTACTCAGTGTTACGCTTACCAACAAGAGAAGGAGGTAAATCTGAAAACTTTGCACCATGTTACCCGTTAAACAAAATCGTGTAATTCAGTCTTTTACTTCTCTGTGGATACATGCTTAGGTCTCGACTCATTTTATGCCGAAAAAAATGAATGAATCAAAGACAGCCACCGTAAAAAATAAAAGCACAATAAAATAAAAAAAAGAACGAGAGGTCAAGAACATTCAATTGAAAACAGAAAGTTGGGGCCTCATTGCCACACGATGACGTTAAAGGGAGGGAAAGCCCCGGACGCCACAATTGAATATTCTTTTCGCTTGTCTATTGAACTATATTGAACTGTCATTCTGGCCCTTCCGTAGCATGTTCACACCACATGCTCGGAGAGCTCACACCCAGGGGCTGCTAAGAGTGGGGATCTTGATGACGTAGACTGCACGCCGCAAATGCGCCCTGAAAACTCGGACTTGGCCCACACCACCTAAAAGATCAATGCCACTGAACAGCCCTGTGTACCTCGACGTAACATCATGCCGTCTCCTCTTACGAGAAGGGTAGTCGACTGCTTTCTTTTAGATTTTGGGAAAGCGGTTCCTTGGGGAGGATGCGGTTTACCCACGGAAACCATAGCATTGAAGTTTTTGACCCACTAGTGTATGATTTACACGATTGAATGCTTTAGTTAAATCCACGAAGGTACACAACTAATTCTCCTTCATCAAGCGCAGTGGGGATTAGTTCCTTCTGCGCGAGCAAATCAAATTTTTGTGCCGAAACCTCTACGAAAACCAAATTGGTATTTAGTTAGGAGGTTATGTTTCTGCTCAGTCACTAAACTGGTTTGAAATAATTCTTTCCATTACTCTCGTAAAAAAAAGTGAAAGTTTTGATACTGGACGGTAGTTGCCCGTGTCATTATTATCATATTTTTATGAAACAGGGCAACCTTTAATTTACCGTGTTTAGTCATCTTGGCCTTCATTGCCGCGACTGTGGTTGGCTACCCGACTCCCAACGGTGTGAGGGAGTTAAGCGTCACAGGGACCAGCATATTCGTGAAATTCTGGAGGCTGTTGAGACAGCGAGGTTGGGCGCTGCTTGTATAAGCAGTCCTCCGGCGGCTCTTTCAGGCAAAGAGATCAGTTTTAAAGTTCCATGACTTGCTTCTTTTTTAACGCGTGCTCTGTACGCGTTAAACGCGTTAAACGCGTGCTCTGTACGCTCTGTACGCGTGCTCTGTACGCGTCTGTACGCGTGCTCTGTACGCGTGCTCTGTACGTGCCTTTTTTGTTGGTGATGTATTACGTGGGCTGAATAGCTCTTTAATTTTTTTTCTTCCTTTTCTTTCTTGACAACGCATGTATATATTGCGATTTTGCAATCAATAAACACAGTTGTTAGCCAACGCTGCGTCCGTGTTACTCCTTCGTCAGGTCCTTTGTCTTTCGCGTTTTTTTTAAATCCCGAATTATGAAACAACCCGGCTAAAAGTAATCTTTTGGAGACGAATCCATGGGTCAGCGGCCAATCGAGCAGGCCAAGCCAACCATGCAGAGAAAAAAGCGCAGATTATGGCGCATTCAGTGCGGGTGATTGCTTTAGTCGGTGAAAGCAAACACAAAGAGGACGAGCCACGTGACGAGGCCCTTTTGGAGCCGCTTCATTGGCTGCTTGGGTTCGTAGCCTTGGCTGTGCTCGGACCAAGTGGAACGCGCAGTAGCAGGAGCAGAAGCAGCTCCCGTTTTTTGCGTTGCGATGGTCCGCGGTCAGAAACATGCAATTTAATGTATTCGTTACATCTTTCATTTGTGAAAGAAAAAATAAGCAATATTATTAGAAGTCGATAAACTTTGTTTGTAAAGGAAGACTGGTGGAAATATGTTCATTTTTTAATGCTCCTTTGTACTCACTGTTTTATTGGCATCTCCAAACTCCATAAAGGGGCCTGGCAGTCTACAGATTTTCGAAATCATTCTTCATATCACAATAGCCTATAAAATTGTGTTTTTTTTTACATTTTTGCGTTTGATGCTGGTAGCGCAATGTTCGTCAGCTTGGGGATGGCGTTGGCAGAGAGGGTGTGATACTGACGACATAGGCGTTTTAGAAATAATACATGACCCTTCATGTGTATTTGACCTCTTGACTCTCGCTTATTCCCAGCCTGGGGCGTCTGAAAGCAGAAGGTTGTTCGGGGCGAACAATGCCACCTACAGGAAGCCAACGTAGAGGGAATTACATTTGGCACGCCTTGACAAAATTCGAATAGACCGATCGCACTAATCGTTCTACCTATGCGTGAGTTGCCATTACTCTAGTTAATTGGATGCAAGAGTAATTTTACAAAACAGTTTGTGCCACATGGTGCTCCTCTCGCGCTGTCCGTCAGTGGGGTTATATCGCGGACAGAAAGACTACATTTCCCGTGATGCATGGCGGCAGCCGTTGCGTATTAAAACTGGCTGTGAGATCGGTTTATTCTCAACGCTCATTCTGGAAATTCTGCACGCGAAAAGTTTCTGGGAAAACCTTCACTCAAAGGTGATAAAAAAAAAAACGACACCAACGCATTTTTTGTCAGATGCTTTGACTCCGACCCTGCAGCTTTTTTATTCAGTGATGGTATTGGAATATATTATATTCGATTTCAAGTTTGAAACCTTGTTTTTCCCAGAAGCACATAACTCTTCAAAGTAGTCCCCACAGGCAACGATGCGCTTTCTGCTACATGCCACCATTCTTCGTATGTGCACTCTCAAGAAAAAAGGGTGTCAAAAGGTGTATTCTTACACCCTTTGTCCCATATAATACACCCCGAAATTTCAATTCGACGTACAGCGCCCAACAGTCAAATAGACGGCCCGAAATTTTACGAGGGGCTTGATAGCCGTGTGGTACAACTTATTAAAATAGCTAACGTACGTTTACTGACAACAAGAAAAACAGTAGGGGTTTTCTTGGCCCTACTGTAAAAACTCGGTGTTTCCTTTATGTGGTCTTGGATACGTACTTTAGCTATTTAAAATGTTGTACCCCACGGCTATCAAGCCCCTCGTAAAATTTCGGGCTCTCTGTTCGACTCTAGGGCGCTGTACGTCGAATTGAAATTTCGGGGTGTATTACATGGGACAAAGGGTGTAACGATACACCTTTTGACACCCTTTTTTCTTGAGAATGTGGATAACAGTGGACCGGCAGCGGAAGTGCATGAATGCACTAGTGATGATGTTGGTTGGGGCGGGGGGGTGCGCAGGCTTGGGCTTTTACAGAGAGCGGGGTCATAAGGACCAGCACAATTTGCACACCTTGTAAATTTCGAGCTCCAAACGTAAATGCCTAAAGTTGGGCAAGCGAATATCGTACGCAAATATTTGCTGTCTTTTTTTTTGGAGCTGTGCACATGTGATAACATGTTAAAAATAAAGCAAAAGTGGCGGCCTTGTATATGCTGCGTCCCATACCGGCCTGTTTGTCATGTGCACACTGGTTGGGGAGCTCGCTCCCGGTTGCCTTGGGGAAGGCAAGAACGCTGAGAACCCAAAAGTAGAGGCTGGCAGCGAGCAGGACAATCACAACCATTAATAATTTTAATGGAGTTTATTACGTACGGCCAACTGGTAGCAGGCTCGCGAACACGTGTGGAGACGACGCTGGAACATCTTCTTGTCTCCAACGCTGGAGACACATGAAGAAAATGTCTCCAACATTTTCTTCATGTGTCTTATATTTTTCTTGATCTTATATATCAGAAACGACTGAAGAAACAAACGGAAGCAGTATGGGTTTCTGACAATTATATGCTTTCATGCCCCATTCCCAAGTTTCTGTTTGGGTTCATGAACGCAACCTGCGTACACATCACCAAGATTAGAAAATGAAAGATGACAAAATTCATTCGCAAGACCGTGCCTCCCCAAGTCTGTATAACGTAGAGTCCCGTGGGTAGTAAGGTGGGATTTTTTTTGTTCCTTAATGTCACTTTTAGCGTGTGTTTATAACTATTAGTTTAGGAGAAATTTAGAGAGGGGCAGGGGCTTAAGTCAAACGTGTGACATTTGAAAGAGGTTCGAGGTGCTCGAGAATTTGTGAATCTAAATCTGCCCAATCCTGCACACTCGCGTCTATGATTCACTCAGTGCTAACGATGCTGCCGCGTGCGTGGCGGAGCTGGCAATGCACACGGCTGCCACGCGGAGGAACGGGGTTGAAACCCCGCTCGGCAGGGTTTGTTTCATCTATTAATCGGCGCTCTGGGAAGTTCGAGCCCACTCTCGGCTGTCATTCTGGGTTCCGGTTCAGAACATTCCTGAATGTACCGCGTGTGGAAGAGTAGAGCGTAGAGATAACGCTTCGAGGCCGTCTTCCTTCCCTTGACATGGCAAGGTGCGCTGTGATTTCTATTTAAGTATGCAGGCCCAAGTTCTCCTCACTAAATGTTTAGGTTCAGTTTCACATTGTAAAGGCCCGTTCACACTCTTGCGACCTCTTAAACCTGGGTTCCTTAAAACTTCTTAAACCAGAGAACACACTGGCGCCATCTATTGGGAAGCAGAGTAAACTCGGCGGTCCGGCATATTTTTTTTTTATTTCTCGCACATTATCCTTTTTTTCTTGGCTCGAAAAACTTTGGCAATGTTATAAACGAGCCTTTCTATGAGTATTACGCACATTTGACCTCGGAAATCCCGGAAAACCTTCGCTCTTGTGAAATGCAGTTCCAGGGTCACCGCACAGATGGCGCCACAATGCCAGTGTGTTCCCTCATTCTAAAAACATTTAAGAAGTTTTAAGAGATCTCGTCTCTCTCAGTCGTACTCGGTCGCAAGAGTGTGAACGGGCCTTAAGAATTCCTTTGCTGCTACCCGTATCGGATACTGGTACATATATAGCGCACTGGTTCAACAACACGTAGTCATTTATAGACCATTATCGCTCGCGCCGCAATACCAAGAGCCTCTGTGCATACGCTACGACGAGTTTTTATCAGCGCTGGAGCGACGACTCGCGTGGCCTATTGCACTTCGCCGTCTCGCGGTGGAAATGACTATGGACAATTTAG